TCTTGCGTTTTCCCTTTTTAGCATCTTGTACGTTGGGAAGCAGTAAAGCAGCTTGGTAAAGTAAAACGGGGCTGAGAAAAAGCTACTGCCGACTGAACAAAACGCCAAATTTTTTTTCATAAGCAGCCAAAGCAGTTGCTTTTAAAAAACAACCAGATACCAAAACGCCGGTTTTTTTTCGACCTGGTTGCGACATCCGAAATTTAAGCCATATTTTATATCTCGCACGCTTTGAGAAATCGTCATTTCAAGGTAACAGTGAGTTTATTTGATTTCCTCAGTCTTATGACCCGTTTTTTTTTGGTCATTGGGATGGAGTAGAAAAGCCTTTTTATCACTGGAAAATTCACTTCTTTGACAATTTTCGCCTAATCTCCGTCGATCGCTTCCTCCACAAATGTTTATTGCAAAGAAACTTTCACATAAAAATTTTAGAATGGGTTCGTATCAAAGGAGGGACAATCAGAGTTTACTCTCCTTACCACACTCTAGCATCTGATTTTTTTCCTTCTTAATCCAGCTCGCTCCCTCTACTGTATCTCGTCGAGGAGTGTTACCAACAGTTGGTAACAGACACTATGAACAGCTTATAAATACGAAAGGGAAAGCAGAGTGGAGTGTAATTTTTCAAATATTCTTTAACGCTATTCTTGTGCGGTACAAACGCTTTTGTTCTCTCCAAATACTAGGTTTCTTTTTTTTAAGCCAAATACTGACTGAATTCGGTGAAAATATTTCCCCAAATTTTGTACCTTCCAGATCCGATAAATTTCCATATTAGTGACAGCGTAGCTAAAAGAATCGAAATGCTTAGATGTCAGTGTAAAATATTGACAGTTTCAAGCGGAATTTTCCACACATGCTCGCCATGTCTGTTCGGTTCATGACCTGTGGTACCTGCGTTTTTAGGCGTCGTAGGCAGCAACGTTCTAATGTAGTTCTTTAGTCTCTGCTTTTTAAGGACATAGCTTTTTTGCACCGATTTTTGAAAATACTGCAAACTTCCCTGAATTCTGCTTAATACACAGTAGACAGTATTTCACGTGCCGGAGTTTATCGCTTTATACAATTTTTCCTTTTTATCAGTTTTCCTGTAATTGTGAGGATCTTTTTTCTCTAATTGCTGGATATATACAGTAATAAACAGGGGGTCAACTTACAGTTTGAGAAAAGTATTACAGTGCAGTAAACTGAAGTTGATCTAAACAGCTAGGGTGGCGTGATTCATTATGAGAAATTGATGTATTTAGCACGCACGGGTAATTTTACCGCTCCGTATTGCCCCACGTTCCATTCCTTACTGCCCTTTAGTCGCGTCTTGCAGTTTTTTTTAACGAAAACCTCGGCAAATCAGGTGATGCTTCCGGGAATGCATTCTGCTGAAGCTGTGTATGAATCTGCTTTCACGAGATCTGCTTTGAAAGGCAGCCAAAAGCAGCTTGTCAAGACTTTTAAGCTACCAGCACTACCTTGCTCCTAATGAGGAGGACGCAAATACACACGAGTAAATTAAAAAGCTCAGCGAAACGTAATCAAAGGACTCAGCATTAGCTCGGATACCGTCAGTTACCTTTTTATTGCCGTAGTCGTTCGAAAAGTCCTCCGCTTCTCTCTGCTCTCTTTCTTAGCAAAATGAGAAATCAAGAAAAATTAACAAAAAAAAAAAACACAATAAGCAATCTTTAAGTCGAGGTCCGCGCTTTCAATGTGAGCTGCTTAGGCCCGAAATATTTTAAAATTTTGCTTTGTATTTTTCACTGTCTCTTTTTACTTGTATTTTTGTTTTTTTGTTTGTTTGCTCATGTGTTTTGCTCTTTGATCGTTCTTTAATGTCACTTAATCAAGATTTTAATAGTTAATCCGCAGCAATTCGCCATTAGTTTTACTACCTCTTTGATCGTTCTTTAATGCTGCGTAATTAAGTTTTTAGCAGTTAATTCGCAGTAATTCATCTCCAGTTTTATCACCTGTTTAAACAACTCCTTTTTCGCACTTTTGTTTTCTCATTTTTGATTGGATCACAAATCTTGCAAAAAGCTAAGCTTTTTGCTTTGGCACAGTTAAAACTGATGCCAAAAATTATTAAAACATTGATGTGTAAGTCTTTTATTCATATTCTACGCTTCTTCCTAAAAATTTCTGGCTGCAAATTTGCCATAGTAGAGCACAAGCTACTGCTAAAATTACTCCCCCCTCCATTAGGGATCGGGTGGACAATTAGATGATGAACTACTGAGACTGGGAATATCGTCAGTGTGAATTTCTCGATGTTATCAAGATTGGATCATATGCTAGTCGCAGCACTGAACACTTTACCTCTCAGTTGCCGAACGCTAAGGCTGGCATTAAGCCTGCTCCAGTGTTAGCCAAATAAAAGAAACTAACAAGGTGTAATGAGAACAGTACTTGATTTGGCGTGAACCACATTGGTTCTCTAGCACGTGACATCTTATCAGATTTTTAAATCAGACTCTGAAGCAACTTGACAATTAACCTACAGAAAATACGTTGGAAAAGTGCAAAAAAATTTTTTCAGATTATACAGTAACTAATATCTCGATTGGAAAAAAACAAGGAGAAACTAATCTGCTGGTATCGCTATATGCAAATAAAGGATGCCTTCAGAGGTGGGCAATGGTGAATTGTTAGTTACCTCAATTGGCATCAATAATGACAGTAGCATTGGTCGCGCAGAAGTAGCAACAAGCTCTGGAGCAGCTGTGCGAGCTGAAAGTGCCAGTCTTGGATGCCCAGAAAGTGCTGATCGTCTTCAATCTCGACGACGTCTCACCTTCCCAATGGATCGACCGTGGCAGCTTCGTACAACTCTCGAAAGACATTGCAGCATTGTAGCCATTAATGCCGGGAATTTGGAGCGACACATGAGCGTTGTCGCCAAGCAGACAAGTGCCAGAGCGAGAAATGCCTTCGTTCGATTTATTAGCTATAAGCAGGTTTATCTTTTTTTATTGAAAGTAATGTAACTAACAAATGCGATAGTTTTTTCTTTTATTTTTGCAAAGTTCAGAATGCATACCACGTATTAAGAGCTCGAAACAGCGGGATGCAACAGCTGGCATGAGTTAGAATACATCCTTCATGAGTTAGAATACATCTTCTGGGCGATGCTCGAAACCCTTGTTCAAAGCTGTAACGGTCGGGAAGAGGGCCTGGACAGCTATAGGAAAAAGCTCAAGCACCTCTTTATTAGTACAACTGCGAAACAAATCAAAAAAAAAAAAAAAAACACAAGCCCCGAAATTAATCGGCAGCAGCTTCAATCTGCCACCGCAAAACTTTTAGGACAAAAAAAAAAAACAACTTTAGTTCATTTCTAATCAGCACATTAAATATCATGGAGGAAGAACTCAGGTCAAGAGACGGGGCATTTGCATATCACAGGGAACCAAAGGGCAACTGCGCGAGGCAAAGGGGATTAAGCATCACCTTTGTTT